GGCGGGGCCCGATGTAGTGGGCGGGGCCCAAGCTAGTTCCGGACTTCGGTCCGATGCCGGGCAGGGCCCAATGTAGTGGGCGGGGCCCAAGTTAATTCCGGACTTCGGTCTGATGCCGGGCGGGGCCCGATGTAGTGGATGGGGCCTAAGCTAGTTCCGGACTTCGGTCCGATGCCGGGCGGGGCCCGATGCAGTGGGCGGGGCCCAGTATTTGCTTACATGTCATTGTATGGTATGTGGTAGTTTGGGGGAACTCACTAAGTTTTGTGCTTACAGTTTCAGTTTTTGGTTTCAGTTACTTCCGCAAGTAAGGGGAAGAGCTCGGGATGATGGCATGGCACACACCACAGCTTCAGTTTTATCCTGGGAATTTTATTCAGATATTTTGATATGATTGATACAGTATTTGTTTGACATAGTTACTTGACTTTTGAGTTACTCATCTTATGGTTCTTAGTATGTTTGGCATTCGATGATGTGATTTTTAGTAATATTAAAACAAAAATTTTTGGGTCGTATTTTGGGATGTTTCAATTATTTCGATTTCATTAATGTTGATTCGTTTGGGAGTGATTCCAGCTTCTTCAGGTGTGCATTTGATGTTGTTAAGCCTGGTGGATCGTTGTACGTTACGCCAACGAACGAGTTCTCTTCCGGTGACCATTGTCCTAACCAGTGAGTTTTTAGTTTTTACCTCATCACAATGCCTGATCTCTGAGAATATCATTGTATTAAGTTTATTTTGTATTATCATGGTTTAGTACTTCTAATATTTTTTGTAACACTAACAGGCATTATGGGTTTATCTACTATTTTGATTGTTGTGGAAACTCTGAAGCTATTTCGTGGGAGAAACTTGGTCAGATAAAGTGTCATTGTGGATCACATGTATGTATGATTTCATCTTATTCTTGGTTTTTAATGGGTTATGATGTGGGTAGTTGATTAATCAATGATGTAACTTGTTAATAGTTCTTTGAGACATTTGTGATGAGTAGAATGTGGATGTTGTAATGTAGAAAGAATTTGGTTAAATTACACATGCCAGAAAGCGTGTTTAGTCCCTATTTTCAAAAATTAACTCAGACCGTCCCTCATTTGGTTTAACTTTGCATGCTTCTTCCCTCAAATATGACTTTATTGCGAACTTAGTCCTTTCCAAAACTAAAATGACGATAATACTCTTATGTTTTTAATTTTCATATAATTTAATGTTTTTATTGTTTTTGTTATCAATTTTTTTAAAAGAAAAATAGACCCTACATTTTCCCACCCTTCAATTGTTGCTAATCAGAAACAAACTCACAGACTTCCTAAAATTGTCGGCTAAATCGCTGGCCACAATCATCGTCCCCACCTCTGGAGAAGATGACCTCGCAGAGCCACCATCACCACCTATCATTGCCTCCATCCAACTCCCTCACCCACAATCACATCCCATCCATCGATGTTCAAGCCACTTCCAGCGACATCTAAAGTCGTCGCCTCGCCGGATAAAGGCTATCTTGCAAAGCCATCATCACCACCTGTGTGACTCTTCCAGACCTCCTATTGCTACCACCTGAAATCCTATCGCCACCTTCAGACGCACATCTAAAAAGACGAAGGGATACGACATCGATCTAGGGTTTGTGTTATGAC